GAGGTATCTAAAGTAGTCAAAGTAATCAAATTCATAGATCTAGAAGGCAGAATGATGGTTATCAGGGGGCTAGGGGAAAGGGACAAACAGGAGTTGTTTAATGGGTACAGTTTCAGTTCTGCAAGATGAAAAAATTCTGCAGATCTGTTTTGTAACTATGTGAATATACTTAACATTACTGAACTGTACACTTAAAAGTGATGAATATAGTAAATTTTATGATATATGTTTTACCAGAATAAAATTTTTTAGTAAAAATACATAAAGATATCCAAATCATTGTTTTGTTTGTTTGTTTGTTTTTGCTGAATAGGGAAAGACAAAAGAAATGAAAGGGCAGTAAATATTTCCCCTGTGTGTAGATGTGTGCATTTTCATTTCTGGTACATTCCACACATGCCAGTTCCACAGCAAAGTTTAAATGTTGAACATAAGAACCTGCATTTTCTAAAATCCAAATCAGACACTAAAACCCATCTGAAAAGCCTAGGCATTAGGGTGTTTACCTTTAGGACCCCGTTTCCAGAGAAGAACCTTGCTCATGGAAAGGCAAGAACAGCCAGTCTGTGCCAACTGGGCTCTTGACTACAAACAACTGAAATGGATGCTGGCAATTTAAATGGGAAGGGATTTATGGAGGTATCGTGCGGCACTTACAAAATCCACATTAAACTGGAAGATTTAGAGAATAGGAGGAATTTCCATGACTGGGTAGCCAAGAACACACCCAGGCCACAGCTCAGGATCAGCCTCATCAGGACACCAGCCATGGCTATGCCTGGCCCTATTGTCACTGAACACTCACTGCCACCTCCAACTGATCATGTGTTTCTGCATCATCCCCCCAAAGTTCAAATTCTGGGGTGGGAAGAACTGATTGGGGAAGCCAGGGAGCTTCCATTCAGCAGGAATTCTTCCCAATAGGCAGAATATCCAAATGCTAAAGGAGAGAGAGAAGGCAACTGTCCACATTGGTTACCAAGCTGTTTATGTCTCAAATGCCTAGTTCATTCAATTTAAAATAAAGCAATAAGTTTCTAGTCAATTCCAGGAAACAGGAGGATCTTCATGCTTACTGGATTCTGTAACTTGCAATATGGCAGTTTTCCACAGGTCATCCAACCAGAGAAGAACAAACATAAACTATCACTGGGTAAAGCAAGGTACACAGGAGCAGGTGGGATGAAGAAGGCCATGGTTAGCTGCCCTCTAATGCTTTCCTTTTGCCAAAGTCAAATTTAGTTGACCTTGATAAGAGCAGGCACTGTGCTTAAAATTCCTGCCAGAACAGACTATAAAGACAGATAGTCTGTTTGCATATACCAGCATTGCTGTTACCATGGGGCTAACACTGCTCACGCAGAGCAGATGCTATTTATTTGGCACAGTTGAATCAATATGTAAGCCTCTAGCCAGCTTCCACACAGCCTACCAGAAAAATTTTCCATAGACTCTGTAAGGTAAAGGTACACAGAGGTTTAGAAAGTCATAAAGAGATGAAAATAAAAAGAAGGAATTAACTTTATCTCATATTACAATCTTTTATTCATTCAATACACTCCTCTACTCAAAGGGTGCTGAAGATTTTTACTTTTATAACGATAGAGCAAAGATGTCTTTACCGCCTTTCTCTAAAAAAGTCAACCAAACAACAAAGCTTAAAAAAAAACAAAAACCAGAAACTCCATTTTAAAAAAATAAAACTAGGAGACAGCTAGAGCCCTGAACTATTGGAAAACTCATGACGTATTTTTTGTTTTTCATTGCAAAAATGCGTCATGACTTTTCCGACAACCCAATACAACACATGCAGGAAGTGGGTGGAGAAATGGTGAGCGACGACGTTAGAGAGCAGATGATGATCAAACCTTTGTGTCTGCAGAGGTAGCATCAACAAGGGACATGCTGCAGAGCCCCCAGAAAACATCAGGAATTGGAGGCATACGCTATTGTGAAGGTGGGGTGAATGGGCAAAGTCAGAAAACAAGGAGACTGAAAATCTATTTATATAAGCAGTAGTTAGACTCCCAGGGTGCCTCACTTTCCCCCAAGAACTAGAAGGTACACTGTTAATAAACATGGCTTCTGGGAAGGAACAAACTTATAAAACACCAGCACTGAAGAGAGTGGGGGTGAAAACAAGGATATAAAGGGAAAACGTGCATGACAGAGAGTAAGACCCCTGGTTCTCTCAACTTACAGGGCCAGAACTCTAGCAGCCAGGATGATATTCCCAAGCAAGAGACTGAAAGGCCATTCTCTAGAAAAATTAAACCATCACCTGAGAAAAGACTTACAGATACTACCATCAGTATCTGCATTGAGAATGCTGACAGGCTACCTAGTCATCCTACAGAGAAGTCCAGTGGAAAACAACATACAGGCATACATAGACACAAATGCTGCTTCTAAGTGGCTTTCTAGTGCCCCACCTCTTAAATAAACAAAAGACAAGGATCACCAGACATCTGAAGAAAGCTCATCATACTCAAGAGAGAAGACCAAAATAAAGTGAAAAAAGGAAATTAGTGGAAACAGGGACAATACTGGTAAGAGAAGAAATCTTCAAAGAAATCATATTTAATATCCCCATTGAGGTAAGATCTTGCATTCATCTCATAAAAGCAAAACATTATTAAAAAGAAAAAAATCAGAAGTAAAAAAGAGGGAGGAAAAAAGATGACATAAAAGTTACAATGAAAGGATTCAGAGGTAAGTTAAAGAAATCTCCCAGAGGGCCGGCCGAGTGGTGCGATGGTTAAGAACTCGCTTGGGATGCCAGAGGGCCCCGGTTCGGATCCCACATATGAGGGCCAGTGACGCTGCCCTCCACAGCTAATATGCTGAACAACAGCTCAACCTGGAGCTGGGCTGCCATGAGTCGCCGGCGACGGCATGGGCTGCAGTCCCTGTGGCAGTGGATTGCCATGGGCTACCGTGTGTGGCCAGCAGCCAGCGTGAGCGGCCAGCAGCCACAGTGAGCGGCCGTCCAGAAGCCGGCGACTGATCTGCCTCGCCAGAGAAGAGCGCAATGATGGTGCCAACTTGGGCCAGTGAAGCAACATCCTCCACAACTAGACTGAAGAACAAAACGACAGCAACTTGTCTGTTCCCCTTCCCCCAATTCCCCAGCACTGTTCCCATCCCCCCAATTCCCCAATAAAAAAAAAGAAAAAAAATCTTAAAAAAAAAAAAAGAAAAAAAAAAGAAATCTCCCAGACAGTACAACAAAAGTTAGAGAAGTAGACAGTATAAAAAAAGAGGTAAGAATATTAGAAAATCGATGTAAGAAGTCTGATATCCAAATTAATAGGCACCCCAGAGAAAGAAAACCAGGAAAACACGAGGGAGAAAATTTTCCAAGAAAATAATACAAATATATTTAATAACTCAATCATATAATTTTTAGATTATAAGGACCTTCTGAACACTCAGCACAGTGAATGAAAAATAGCTTATATTATAGGAATTCACCAAAAAGTTTTAGGATTCACATATGAGTAAGAAAGAGACCTTAAAAACTTGCATAGAAGAAACTGACAAAAACATACAAGAGATCGAGGACAATGGCATTAGACTTCTGAACTGCAGCACTGGACTGGATGGTAATGGAACAAAACCATCAAAATCCTTTTCAAACTATAATAGAATTCTATACCCAGCCAAACTACCACTCAACTATAAGACCAGAATAAGCCATTTTCATATCTGCAAAGTCTGAGGGACATAAAACTGCTGGATTTTTGTTTTAAGCCTTCTAACACTATTTAACAAACTTTATTTTGAACTGCACAGTTTATACATATTTTCAACTGTAACTCATTTTGGTCTTTAGGCACAACAGTATATTTTCTAGGCTCTGTAATCATAAATGGGATATGCCCTTGGTTACCACATTCTTCTGCTAATAAAATAGGAGATCATGATATAAAAAATTCCACAATATAATAACCTTTCTTCTTATATAAAAATGTACTTAAAAAGTATTTTATAAATATTCTGTGAGGATAGCTATTATTACCTCCTGCTTAAAGATGAGAAAATTAAGGCTTAAAGAGATCAGTGACTTTCCAAAGGTGTTACAGCCAACATAAAGTAGCACTAGAACTCAAATGTATCTCTAGTGCCAGGTTAAGGATTCACCTCATGACATGTATGTAAGAACAATGTTTATGGCTTTATGTTTCAGTATCTCATTCTCCTATGTATACACATAGGGAACTGTCCTTTCAAGCCACCAAAAGCACTGTTATCCCTTTTCTCCACCCCAATGACAACCCACCTATTCATTTCACCTCAAGCACCTCAGCACTGTGGCCTAGCCCCTTGTCCTTTTCCAGGCCATCCTTAAAGAACTGTACTGTAGGTCCCAAAATAAACACTGACTTATATGCTTAGAGGTCTGGCAAAAGGCAAATCCTAATTACTTATTAGAAAGAAACTTGATTTTCCCCCCTTAACCCAAGGGTTAGAAGGAAAATAAATAATTAAACAAAAGGGAATTCATCTTCTCATATGCCACATGTAGCAGAAAGGCACCTAATGCATTTTAAATGTTTGTAATGATACATTTGGCTTCCTATCATGAAAAACAAAACTTATTTATAGTCAGCTATTCGTTTTTTTATATTATAAAGGGATAAAGACTCAAGAATAATTATCCCTTCCAGTCTGCCCCCTAAAATGTATTAATCAAAAAGTGTACTTTAAAATTTAGAACACAATAAACATGCACAGAGCTTCCCTTCCCGCTCCCTTTTCGAAAGCAAACAGAGAGACAAGAAGACTGACAGGCACACAGGTGCTCACAGTCACACACACTGTCTGTGACATTGGACTCCTATCCCTCCCTCTCAGCTTCATCCTCTGTTAGACTTGGGGACATGACTAGGCACTGGGTGAAATGGTCACAGTCCTCACTGAAAAACCCACTATACTCTGAGTGACTTCGTAATTTGAGTCATGCAAAGAAATAATGTGATGACAAGCTAGCTACTTACGCCACAGTAGCGGTCATCATTAAATATCTGAGGTGGCAGAGGGTTGCCCTGAGCAGGCTTCTTTTCCGGGGGGATGTTTTTGTACATCCATTGCCTCTGTTCTTCTGACATTGTGATATCCACCTCCTCAAACTCTATCTTGTTAGCTTCCAGAAATCTAACCACATCTTGCTGCTTCTTCTTTATCTACAGAGAGAAGACAAATAAGGAGAAATGCTTATCTGAAACAATATGTAGATATATCCAAATTGAACTAGATTTGATTTCTCATTGCCAGAAGTCACTGATACAAAAAAAGAGGCAATTTACATAGGCGACAACCTCACTGTCCACTCACTGGCTATCCAGCAGAGGTTGAAGCAAGTCCTGACACAATGATTTCTTCACCTAGACTCCCGGAACTCTGGGGCACAACTCAGGTTATCTGGCAGAAATAGGCTATGTATAAGGAGAGAGAGTCATATAGTTCTCAGAGGACCATCGCTACTCCCTCCTCCCACCCAAGAAACTGACATTTACAGTCATGAAAGCTCCCTCTGCTCAAAAGTATTTGACAACCATGTATAGCCCATCAGAGATGTCAAAATCTCACTGATTCCTGGGAGCAGCAACATTTTTATTCCCCTCAGCAGCCTCTTTCAGGTATTCCACAGCTGTAGCCACTGTCATGAAAGCATCCTTTCAACAATTCACAAGAGGAAAATGTTCTCCACTTCCAAGGTGAGCGAGCATAAACAACAAGCACCATTTCACTTTGAACTTGATGTCTTAACCCGTTTCATTCCTCTGACCGCTTATGCTTCCTTACTCAGTCACTAGGGGTCAGGTGTGCTCTTGAAGAGCTGCAAACACTATGTAGCTTTCAAATGTTACCAATCTTCTTAATTTAAGGGCATACATTAACTGATGTAGATGGGGTGATAATATTCAATGTCTTAAAGACACAGCAGGTAAAACATGAGAAAGCAAGCTTGCTTTTTCTAAATGATTCTGGAAAATCTGCACAAAGAATGGCCAAAGAAAAAAATCACTGTGAGAGGTCAAGCAGCCAGAAAGACCTCTTGTCATAGAAAATAAAATGCTTGAAGAACGAACTTTCACATACCAATTGCCTCCACCAATCCCCAAAGCCATCTCCCCTCCAAAAATCTCAATGACAGGTGTCTCGGAGGTGGAAATCTGTTACCTGCCATGAACAACAAGGGTCTTATCACCCCAGGCTCAGTGAAGTCTATGAGCACAGTATGAACAAAATAAAAAGCTGACAAAATAGGACATCTTTAAGTTCAATGATATAAAATGAGAGAATTACTTTATGATTATAAATCCAAATTGATAATGGTATTATCTTAATTTCTTGAATTAAGCCATTTTTCATTTCTGGAAAAAATTAACTTTTTTCCTTCACTGATATATGTGTACAATTTCAGAAATGTTATATTATTTTGAAACTTCAGCTTGCAAAAAAGTATCATCCGCCCTACTTAATTTCCCCATACAACTGTACAAGGTAGATTTTCTTGTTCCTGAGGTCAAAGTAGTCACCTATTTTGAATAAGATCCTACTGGGTGTTCTTGTCAAGATAACCATGTCATTCTCCTATTTAAAACCCTTCTTTAGTGGGCTCCCCACTGCCCTTTGGAAGAACATACACATTTCTTAGCAAACAGTACAATGTCCTTCATGATTCAAAATGTCCTTCGACTATAAAAGCAATTCATTTGCATATTTAAAAGTTTGGAAACTGTAAAACAAACAGTAAGTTAACTACAGTCTTACTTCCCAGACTGCCACTGTCAAAATTTACTAGAGGAAAGGCTCTGGATTTAATGTCCATATATGGAGCTCTACGTATCCAGCATAATTCAAATGTTCATGAGAGTGATTAAAAATGAAATAGCTACACAAACCTTGGTTTTCCATATAACGTATGTATAAATAATATCGACCTCTACCCTTCTTTACCTCTCCATCCTACGGCCTATACACATAGATAACACACACACACACACACACACACACACACACACACACAGCATTCACTGCTGGACTATAATCCCCTACAGATCAATTGGTCTCTCCTTTCACAGGGCTGCACTAGGTAAAAATAGCTGCACCTTGTCCCTTTCGTTCAACAATATATCACAAATACTGTCCCGTCATTAAAAGTTTTCAAAAGTATGACTTTTAATATCTGCCTGGCAATTCCATCATGTACATGTATAGTTAACTATTACTCTATTGTTGGATATTTAGCACAGTTATAACTTTCACCACTAGAAATAATATCATGTAGTGAGCATCTTTACTTATAAAAGTTTTACTGTATTTGGGATACTACTTTAGGACAAAGGCTATAAATGAAACCCAGGTCAAAGGGCAGAGACATTTTTCAGGCCCCTGATAGACCCAGATTTAACTGCTTTTCAACAAGGCCACATCTGACAAAAAGTACAAAGTTCCAGTCATAAAATAAGTAAGTCCTGGGAATATAATATACAGCAGGATAACCATAATTAATAATATTATATTGTATATTTGAAAGTTGCTAAGAGAGTAGATTTTAGAAGTTCTCATCACAAGAAAAAAAATTTGTAAGTATGTGTGGTGATGGATGATAATTAGCTTTATTGTGATGATCATTTTGCAACATATACAACTATGGAATCATTATATTGTAGCCTTGAAACTAATATAATGTTGTATGTCAACTATACCTCAGTAAAAAACAAACAAAAAAAACAAGGCCACCTCAATTTACATTCCCATTAACAATATTTGAAAGTATCCAAGTCTCATGCCTCTTCTTTCTTATAGCCAGTATCTGAAAGTTACATTGCAGAAGATTCAAGTTCAAACAATGTGAGGTGATCATTCTGCAATATATACATACATGAAATTATTATGTTTTACACCTTAAACTTATACAATGTTATATCAATTATATCTCAGTAAAACTGGATTAAAAAAAGAGAGATGGTTCAAGTCCTGGCCCGAGCTGAGCAGCTGCTGAGCTGCCAACAGGTAGGTGGCAGGATGGCTCAGCTTAAAAAAAAAAAAAAAAAGTGAGAGAAATGGTTGCTGTTCTAAAAACAAAAATCAAATGCATCATTACATACTGACAATGCTCAGGAAGCAAAAGATAGCTCCTTACTCACAATGGTGATGATTGTCAGTAGTGTAAGGAGTAAAATGTAAGTAATTATATTTCTATTTTTAAAAAGGGAAACACAGACAGACATGACCAGGTTTGTGTTTGAAAGACATCGCTTTAATACTATGCAACTTAGAAAGAATAAAGGAGAACTTCTGTATGTACTGTCAACACTGCTAGGAAAAGGTCTCTATGATTTCATATATATATATATATATATATATATATATATATGAAAAAAGCAACAACAACAAAAACAAGGAACAGAGAACTATGAGTAGATTAGGCACACTTTTCTGAAAAGAAAAGAGAAAACCAGGAACACATTCGCATGTGCTTGTATTTATGTTTTAAAAACCTCTTGAAGGTTATATAAGAAACTAGCAAAAGTGGTTGCCTAGGGACTGGGGGAATGGAAACTGGGTGATGGGAACAAAGTTGGAGCACGAGTTTTCACTCTCTACATGTGTAAACTTGAATCTTCTTTGAACAGTGTGAATGTGTCAATAGTCAAAAGATTAAATAGAATGTATTTTGAGAAAGACAGAGAGCGTCACAGCCTGGAGTGCAGCAGGAGTACAGAGCCCTAGAGACGCAGTGTTTTATATAAATCAAGTTTCCCAGCAGGACATGAAGCAGGTCACAGCATTTTGTTCCTCAGCCCCTCTGTTTCCTTACACTTATAAGAAAGGCCAGATGATTAAAACAAAATTTTAAAAAACAGCTAAAGTCACAGAAAATTAAGACTATAGCAAATCACCGAAATAAACAAAAAGGAGAAATGTAACCCAGAGAAGGTGGTTTTCAAGTGGATGTTTGTGACATTAGCCTCAGGAAGGAAGATGAGTCAGGCCACCATGCACTGCTTTTAAGATCTGCTGAGGTGAATGTGGCCTGGAACTAGGGGAGCCCAAGCTTCAGTGGCCGGGGCCAGACCGACTCCGGAAGCAGGGGCTTGGGGGACTAAGGGCCTGAGTAGAAAGGCTTCCCATGTGGCAACAGGAAGTCATCAAGGGCACTTTACGCGCTGGGCAAAAATCCAGTGTTCAAATAACAGTAACATATATAGTCATTTCCTTAACACAGGACTTTCTTCTCCCCACATTTCCACTGTTCTGAAACAAAGAGTACCTTACAACCAATATCAAAATAAATTTGGGGAGCAAATGGAAGAGAAGAATTTCTGAGGCAATAGTGGCTACCTTCACTCATGTCAATTTAGCCATGAGTGGAAGGAAGATACTGTAATTCCTGGTTTGTTTGTTTTAAACACACTTAAAAGCTAATGCAGATGTTATTTACCCAGAAGCCACCTCCCTTTCTTTCTTAATACAGAAACCTGGTTTTGTTTAGGAAAGCAATGTGCTCAGCTACCAAATTTGTTTACCCACACTCCTCTGCTGTTTGGGGCGATCATATGATACAGCTCTGGCCAATGAGATATAGGCAGATGCTCCTTGGGAAGGCCCCACATAATGAATGGAAAGACAAAGGCCATTCTGCCCTTTGTCCTCCTTCTGTCTCCCTTGCAGAAATGCAGAAGTGGTACCCAGAAGTGCAGAAAACATTTTGCAAATGTGAAAACAAACATCACATGCTAACGATGGCCAAACAGAATGGCAGGGGCCTGGATCCTTGATGACAGTTTACAGGCTTCACACCAGTCTTGTGCAGCCTACTCTAAACCTTTCTGTGTTAGACAAATAAACCCCTAATTAGTTAAGCCTCTCTTTATCAAGTTTTCTACAGTTTGCATCTAAATGCAATGCTACTTGGTTAAATTCTTAATTGCTACTTAAAATGTCTTCAGAAATACTGTAGTATGATGGATTAAAAATAAAAGCTATTACTAAACAGCAGAGCCTGGAAAATAAGTGAAATGAGTATTTGTATTTGTCACTGAATAAACACACAGGAATTTTCATTATTTTGTTTGTAAAACAACAAATTGTTGGACCTAAAACCAGAAAATATCTTCGAAAGCATGAAAGTTGCATTTCATCTTATCATTCAAACATATACCATTACACA